GCAGTTATTTCATAGAACGCTTATCAGATTTTAATCGAAATAGGATTCTGTAACGTAGCAGATTAGCGACCAAAGACGAATTTTTGAATTTCAAGATTTAATTCTTTTTTTTCCTTGTCACTAAAATGGATATTTGTTGTACACACAGTTTAGGCTAAATATCCTGAAGGATCCTTTTCACTCTCGTCTCTGCCTTTGCCTACACGAGAAAAACCAAGATATTTTATATCGATGGGGTACACTTGCAACGATGCACAAATATGGTCATTCACCCATTGGAATAAAACTTAGATGACGTCAAAATTGAGAGAGTTCCGGCCCTAAAGAAGTGGCCTCAACAAGACGGTAAGAATACGTTTGCATCTCTCGGGCGTGATCTTGTGAAGACATAATATTCTATGCAAGACAGAGCTTAACATGACGATACACCTTAGCAGAAGGTTTCAGAATTGTTTGTCTTTTGTATTCTTAATTAACTTACAGATTTTGAGGACAAGTAACACATTCCATCAGCAATTTGCCAAGCAAACTTCATCAGCTGCTGTGACGTCAAATTTGTTTGCGGTTTAAAATCCGGGTCCTTGTAGTATGTGTCCTTTAATCCCCGGCTCTTTCTCAGGTAACCCAGTAGATCCCCAAAAGGCACATATTCAATCAAAACCAACAGCTGTTCTGAAGAAATTAAACAATTTAATTGATAAATTACTGAAAAAAGATGAAATTTCAATAAATAAAATCAATAAATAGCCCAATTATGATCAATACTCACGAAAACAAGATGGTTTTACCAAGAAAAGCTGAAAAACTATGTAATGGTCTCTCAAGGAGAAACGGACCAAATATTCCCTTGCAACAAGCGTTTCTGCTTGTTGCTTTCTAGCCTGTTCAGTGGCAAATATTTGGTCTTGGTCTATCGGTAAATCCAGGAGCGTCTTTGTTGGCTAAAAAAATATAAAATTACCTTATACCAGGGTCGTTTGTCGTGCCCAGTGGTGAAGCAGTGAATCTTCCATTAAAGCAAATTATCAATGACTAGAAAGCGTTTCAGAGTAGACCATAACCAAAATGTGTACAGCAAAATTAGACCCGCATAACCAAAGCATACCAGATTCTGTAACACATCCCAGTAGTTTAATGACGTGAGGATGTGGTTTCAGCTGCTTCATTGTGTCAAGTTCATTCATCAAATCTCTCTTGTCCGATTCAGCGGCGTTTGCTGGAGCATTAAAAACAAGGAATAAAATTTGGTTAACGGGAATAACATGCGAAATGCCGAAATAAGTTATGAAACGGCAAATAGCTAAAAAATTACGGTAACCTGGTAACATTTCCTGAATGACTGTAGGCCAAGACTGTTATTCTATTTACAGTATAAGAGCTCACTTTTAAGCATCTTAATAGCCACTGTGGTCGTTTCGGGACTCCCTCGAAGTCCTACCACTGTTCCCTTGGCAACTTGACCAAAAGCACCTTTACCAATGATTTTTTCTATGGTCACGTGGTGTCTTGGAACTTCCCAGCAGCATGTTAACGGATGAAGAGGCACGTAATCGGCACCTGAAGCGGTACTTTGTGCTTTTCTATTATCTTTGTTGACTTCTATGAGATCCATGTATTCCGCAGGAGGCTGAGTGAGTTTTCTCGACTCGGGTATAGTTGGTTCGATATCATCTAATCCTGTTTCATTCTATTAAACCAACATACCGTTAAGGTATTCATACACAAATCTGTTATTAATCCCGGTAAAAAGTCCCACATGGTTATAAAAATCAGTTTACTCATGGTTTATCACACAAAGGTTTAAATTCTTCCCTAACAAGAGATTACAAATGGTTTACTATCTCTTGTCCTTATCATTACGAACATTTATTATTATTAACGTTTTTTTCTCTGCTTTTGAAACTGTTATGTCCAATGGAGTGATCGAGGTTCATAGCATATTCGCCGAAGCTACAAACTGCACCATGGAGATTTACGATTGGTAGTGCAATTTTTGAAAAAGGCACGCACGAAAAACTGTAGCTGTTATCAGCTCCTAAACTAACGTTTAGAAAGTAAGGCATCAATAAAATAAGAAGGCCAAAAATGCGCAAAAACAATTATTTAGAGAGCAAATATCAACCGGGTGCAGACCAGTTAGCGATCTACGAAGTGAAGCCGCCAAGTTAAACCTTACAAGGTTCACAAGTTAAACCTAAGATCTTGTTTAAGGACATGATCCCAGGACAAAGACTTTATTGAGTCTAACTTCCTTCTATTTCATTGTATCTGCCACTAATGCAATATGCTTTTTTGTTGTAGAACTACGCCTTTTTTCCTTCTTGTTTGCAGCAAGCGTTTAATTTCTTATAGAAAGTAGAAGTAAAGTGAGATAACGTAATTTCTGGCTACACTAACATGACCGCAATATCATGGCTCTTACTTACGTCATAATCACCTCTTTCATCTTTGTAAGTCCTACAATTGAGAAAGCATACAAATATTTACAAAAAGCTGAGAATTTCATCAGCCTTAAGTAGAATTTTTTTTTTGTTACGATGAAACCATATCTGGTACATGACATCGACAAAATCCAACTGGCAGCAAATTCTTACCTCTGTTTCCCTACAGCGCCTAAAAAAAAGAACGAAAGGGAAAAAAAAGACAAATGATGCGGATGTGGGTCAAAATTTGCTTTCGCTCATTAATGAATCTTGAAGCCAAACCCTCTATCATAGATAATGATTTTTTTTACCTACCTTTCCTGTGTAGCCAGATTATGTAAATAATAAGAAGAAGGATTGTGAAGGCAAGAACCCCAATTATGGCTAACAAGACGTTGTTAGATGGGCAGTTACATTCCTCAGGACCTAAAATGAGTCATTTTACAAAGCTTGATGAAGAAACATTCAAACAACATTTACACAGATCCTGGTCGATATACTGCTCTCACTACATAGCTTAGGCTTATGACCGGAAAACGTTGACTCTAATTGGCTTGGTACGAAGGAAAAGTAAGGTGTTACTCTCTCTCTCTCTCAAGTAGGATTTTGTTTAGTTGAACAAAAACAACAGCAACGACAAAAACAAAAACCTGGAAATATATCACTCACAGAAATGAGTTGTTGAATTAAACAGATACGGAATACAATTAGAAAAAGTCCGTTTTCGGAAGAATATGTGTAAACATTTAACAATTTCTTTGTAAAATTTACCTTTTGTTGTGCTTCCCGAGCCGTCTGTGGGTATAGAAACCTGCTTAATTGAGTCTGGATTGACTTTAAAACCTCCGAATTTTTCTTGCCTTGCAGCATCCGACAAGACAATTAAAACATTGTTAACGACTACACTGTGATTGAACCTCATCATGAAGTCAAGAACGACACTGCCACACCTAGATAAGGAGGGAAGCAAAGAGTATCATCACATATATTTGTACTTTGGTGAGTTTTAAGGGTTAAAATACAGTGAGATGTAACCAAAAGAGTATTTTTATGTAAGGTAAATAAAATTAATTCATGTCATTCTGTGTTATTATATTTATGCACATTAAAGAAAATACGCTTCAAATGCAAATTATTTCCCATTAAATAAGATTTTCTAAAGCAGAAAAGCCAGTTTCACGCTAAAATACGCCACTTTGAGATAAAGGTCCCCCACCGCTGGTTTTTTAGTGTAAAAAAACAAATTGTATCTTACCTGGTGTTCACAGTGTTGGCGGATGAGCAGCCAAACCTAAAGGCAATTTGACAAGCCTAAAAGGACATGTAAAGAAAAACTGTATATTCAAATACATGCTTGTTACATATTGAAGATCGTTCAAAATATTTTTTTTTTTAAATAGAAATATTAAGATTTCATTCAAGAACAGAATCTTATGGTAGTATTACATACACTCTGGTATATGGTCAAGTAGATTATCTAACCATTTCTGGAAATTTCGCAGCAACTTCTGTACTTCTGCTACAGTTCTCCTTTATGGTCGCTGTCAGGTAAACGTCTGTGCTTACTGTTTGAACAGGGAAAAACAAAATACGACTTAAAATGAATGTTTGTTTGGATGTAAAAGAATTAGCATTTGAACTCATGTATAGAAACAGCCTTTACTTGCAAAAAACACTCACATAAACTGTACGGTTAGGAGGGCCAATTTGAGAGATTTTTTTTCGTGAGTTCTGCGGTGATGTAGCTTGAAATCATTAGAGTGTCTAACGACTATTTCGGATGCGTGTTTGTCATTCCTACGTCACGACGGTGATCTCAGAGTCGTTCCTATAGTCGTCTTCCTTTTTCGCCGGAGTATAACTTTTTTAAATAACTGCAAGTTATGATATAGATGACATTGGTAGAGGCAGTCAACTTTTTTCTGAAAAAAGCAATTTTTAGTATTTTGCAATTTCTGATTAACTTGCAAGCAACAATACTAAGAGCTAAACGGACAAAATTGTTATAATTTGAGCTCGTGGAGAAAGATTTTCAAGTGCAAATAGGCCGGAAATAGAGAGAGAGCGACCACAGAGAGAAAGAACTTAAAAGGCGGGGAGCGAGTCGAGAAAAACGCGGAAGGGGTTAGAAAGGACGCCAAAAAAGGAAGAACGCGATAGAGAACAATAAAAGGCTAAAGTAAAAAGGCGAATAACTGGTGAAGGCCACCGTAAGAAGGGAAGAAAAAAAGAGCTCCAGGAAACAGACTGAAAAGAGTTCAACAACAAAGAGAAAGCGAAGCACGCTTGAAGCGAAAATGAAAACCCCCGAAAACTAAGACCTAAGACCTGAGAGCTGAAAACGAAGATCCCTTCAAGATCTTGACACAGGAAGTCTACGTCACACTTTATGGCTTCACCGAAGAAAACCAATGAAAAGATTGACAACCTCTCTGTTCGCAGCGTGAGGCAGCATGATCATACATCCTTAATTTAACGAAAGCGAAATTGCCGACAATAGGCCACTTCAGAGTTCTCGTGGTTCAGAAATTAAGGCGCGAACAGGGAGCTGAGTGCAAAGTCGCTCTCATCGGTGTAAAGAATAAAGTGCCGTGGTGGTGAAAATGAGAGGAAAGGTCTCGGAATTCAGTGTGGAAGGGTGAAAATGTTTTTGTGGGAGAGAGGCATCAACTGAATGATGGCGGCAAAGGAAAGGAAAAAGCAGTCAATTTAAGTATGAGAAGATAAAACTGAAGTTTTGCAGAGTTCTCTTTCCGGATTCAGATGAGCATGTGTCAGTAAACTACCCAAAATACCTGTGTGTCAGCCAATAAATAAAATCTCAGTTCATAGATATGCCATATCCTTGCAGTTGGCACACAAATATCATCTGCGACGTAAGTGAAATGTTTCTCATTAATACAGGTTTTTGCAAGCGAATAATTCACCCGTAAAAACCTCGATGCTGATGGCATAGAGAGTGCTTGAAAATTAAGTAAAGAAAAGGATAAACCTTTGAAAGAGGAAAATAACATTTGTACATACTTCCTTCTGCCTTGACTTTCTGGATATTTGCTTTATCTTGTTTTAGGCTTTCACCAAGCTCATTAGTTGCAGTAATGGCAAACTGATACACTTTTCCTCTCTCCAATGCTATTTTCAATTCTCTCACGGAAACATCTCTGACTCTCCTTATTTCTGTCCACTGTCCCACTTTCCCATCAGTCACTACCCTTTGGTACACTGAATACATGATAACAACTTTTCCATTACTTTCTGGCTCCTTCCACTTTAGGGTAATTGTATCGTCTGTCGTTTCACCTGGCAGGTCGTCTATTTCGACCACACCTGGGGCTCCTAGATTGACGTCAAAAACATGACCAGTGTGAAATTTCTAATAATTATTCAACTTCTTGATAAAAACCTGGTCACAACTCTTGTCGGTGATAAGATAATCTGTAAATTGGTGGAGGATATTTTGGGATATTTTTGAAACGAACGTGTATGGCAAGCAAAATTAATTGAAGAAATTTAAATTAATTTTAAAGGACAAAAAGTGATGATGGTCGATTGTAGCTTAAAACAAAATGCATTCATTTGTGCTACGTTATTACAGAAAGTTTGACATCGCGCAAGACTAAGTACCGACACTCGGCCATGACACAGCGGGAAAATGAGTACGCATGCTCTGCATCTCGAGCCATTTGATTCTTCTTCAGCAAACATAAACTGACGCTGAGTTTTTCCGCCGAGAAAACAAACTTTTCTCTACAGGGGGTTTGCCAACTGAGGAAACAATGACAAGAAGCGCTAAAGCGATGACGGGTGCTACGAATTTTGTAGCCATGTTCAACTTCTCAACTTCTGTTACTAAATTCACGCCTGTTGCCATAATACTTTTTTTGTTGAGTGAGATATGTGCCGGATGAAGTTCGACAGAAACTTTCCTGAAAAAGACAACCTTATTTGTTTTGGTTTGGGCCTATCCCTGCGAAATGAAAACAAGCTATGGCATTGAGAAGACAATATATACCTAGGAGTATCATTTTATTGACGGTATCTCGGACTGAATTTGGTTCTTCAACTGCTCATTTGTAAGTCCGTGACAAGGTTTGAAACAAACCAAACCTAGCTTTAACACAAGAAGTACTACATGTGTAAAACATGCAACGGAAGGTTTTGAAGGTTTTGTTTAATGTCAATAAATTAAGTAGAAATTCTGATGGCTATGGGAGCTAAGGAGGTTGAATTCTTTTGTAAAAAAAAACATTGTAAAAACTGATCTAACTCACAACAAATCTAATCAATCGTGCTCAGTAACGAAATCACTTGTGATTCCTCACCTTCAAACTTGGTCCTAATCGTCCTTACATTAGGATCTCCCTCGAACACAAAATTTCTGGAAAACAGTTTTACCGTGTAGTTTGTATTTCTTTCCAAACCACGCAACGAATAAGTTGTCGTTCCAGGATCGGTGATATTATCCTTTTTTATCTCAGTTTCACCCTTTTGTAAGATCATCCGGTATCCTATAATCGGACTTCCTCCATCATCAGCTGGTGCAGTCCATTGTATTGTCATAAAAGTTGCTTGAATGACTGACTCTGATGATTTTAAGGATGCTTTCCCTGGTTTCTCTACAAGGTGCCATAAAAAAAGGATCATTTTGAGCAAAAGAAAGGAAGGAGAAATTTCTTTTTGTGATAACCTCATAGTGAGTTTCGTCACAATACTTAGGATGAATGCAAGTCATTGTAATATCACAGTTTAATGAATATACATGTAGCTACCGGATAAATTTAGCCAAAAGTCAAATAAAAAGAGGGAAAAATTAATTTTTCATGGCTGAGGAAATTTCCTATGGATACTCGCATAGGAGGATGTCATCAATCTGCCTGAAGTTCAATGCTCTTTTGTAACGTGTTTAATGCTACCAAAGGGCACGGTGTCGACAGTTTACCGTAAATCTTTCTAGAAAATATGGGTGCATTTTCCACAAGAGATCAGGCTGACTATATCAGGCATAATTCCAGTATAACACCATTATACCTCACTGAGGTAACGTACGCGAAAAATATGTGGTCTTACTCTGCTAAAGAGGAGAAAATGCGAACGGAACGCTTAGATAAAGCCGTAAGATATATTTTGAAAGCTAAGCAGCGGTTAAAAAGTGAAAGAAGAGTAGATTATATGAAAGTATTATAAGTTGAACTATCGAATAAGATGAACAAGGTGAATGAGTTACCCTGTCGAGTACTTTGAAAGAAAATGTGGCTTTTACTTCTAATACACCTGAAACAGTGATAAAGAGTAAAGGCAAAAGAATATGCTGACCTAATACCTAATTTTCCTCTTATCAAAATAAAGTGATCTTTTTTTACTCACTTATCTGATTTATCGTTATCAATTTCTCATGAGATGGAATCTGTCCATTAGCAGCAATGCACTTGTAATGACCAAAATCTTGATCACCCCTAAGTGGCACTTGTATTTTGCTTTGTCTGGCTCTGACTCTCTTTATTTGACTTCCTTCAGGTTTGTACCAAGAGAGTGTTGGCGTGGGAACACCATCAGTAAGACACTTCAAAGTCACTATCTGGCCAATCCAAGACTTCTTAGATGACGTGGTGACATTTTGAATTGTGGGCGAGTCTAAGAATAAATAACAATGCAAT